ATGATCATAGAATTCCATTGATGCATGGTAACAAGCCACCTAATAGCAAACCTTACAAATATAGTCCAATATAGAAGGCTGAAATAGAAAAATATGTTACAGAATTGTTAAAGGCTAGATTCATCAGAGTTGGCAACAATCCTTACTCATCTCCAGTGATACTTGTAAGGAAAAAGAAAGGTACTTAGTGCACGTGCATGGACTACAGAGGCCTGAATTGCATCATCTCAGTTAAAGATAAGTTACATATGCCTCTAATTGATGAGTTATGAGATGAGCTATATGGTGCACAATACTTCTAAAAATTCGACTTAAAGGGTGGGATACCAACAAATTCAAATGCATCCAGATGATGTTGAGAAAAATGTATTTAGACCACATGATGGACATCATGAATTCATGATGATGCCATTTGGTTTAACAAATGCTCCATCAACCTTTCAATGCCTTACGAATGAGATTTTTAGACTACATTTAAGAAAATTTATTTTAGTTTTCTTTGATGACATCTTGGTCTATAGCTTTACATCGTAGTTGCATTTAGATCATCTTAGATTGGTATTTGATACATTAAATGAGCATAGTTTGTTTGTCAAGCAATCTATGTGTGCATTTGGCAAATCTAAAATGGAATATTTAGGTCACATTGTATCTAAACAGTGAGTTTATACAAATCCTACCAAGTTGGAATCAATTGCAAAATGGCATGTACCAAATTTTGTGATAGTATTAAGGTAATTAGTCCATTGACTGCTTTGACTAAAAATGATGGTTTAAGTGGTCTTCAGTAGCTACTAAGGCTTTTCTTACTTTGAAAGAGGCAATGCTACCTCCACAAGTGCTTGCATTACTAGATTTTAGTAAACCATTTGTAATTGAGATTGATGTAGTACTCCAACAAGAGGGTAGACCAATTGCTTTCACTAGCAAGACCCGTTGTCCAAGAAATCAAGTGTTGTCAGCCTATGAGAGGGAAATGTTGACAATTATTCATGCCATTCATAAGTGACAGTCATACTTAGTTGAAAACCACTTCATTATTCAAATTGATCATGACAATTTGAAGTATTTTCTTCAAGGAAAAGCACACATTCCATTTCAACAAAAATGGGTGACTAAATTTTTAGGATTTGACTATAAGATCTAATTCAAGCAAGTGTGCAATAATGAAGCAGCTAATGCTTTAAATAGGTCTCCATTGACTACTATAACTCTTCTCTGCAATCTATACAAGAGTTGGAACTTCAGGTTATTTCATATCTTTACTCACGGTGGATCGATGATCTCATAAGGGATTAGGGAATGATCCTTGGGTAATTTAAAAAATCCAGAAAATTTTGGTTGTTGATGACAATAATCTCACTATTTCCAATTTGAAGTTTCAAGTTGATATGGATTTCTTAGGTATAAAAATAGAATTATACTAAGTCCTGCTAGTACTTGGAGAAAGAAGATCTTCACATAACATCATGCTACTTCTACAACAGGCCATGAAGGTTTCTTGAAGACATATAAAAGAATTTCTAGGTGCTTCTATTGGGAAGGGATGAAAAGATTTGTTAAAAATTTGGTTACTTGTTATCCTACTTATCAACAAAACAAGTTCGAGACATTAGCTTCTCTAGGATTGCTGTAGCCTCTTCCTATACCAACCAAAATTTGGATTGATATATCCATGGATTTCATTGTAAATCTTCCTTCTTGCAAGGGTAAGACTATGATTTGGGTGGTGGTTGATAGACAATCTAAATATGCCCACTTCACTGCTTTGAGTCATCCCTATTCTGAATCTATGGTTGCTCAGCTTTTTGTTGACAACATCTTCAAATTACATAGAATGCCTAAGTCAATAATGAGTAATAGGGATCTAGTTTTATTAAGCAAATTTTGGAAGGAATTCTTTCACTTGTAGGGCTCTTCTCTTTGTTATAGTTTTGGTTATCACCCACAATCAGATGGTCAAGTACAGGTATTAAGCAGATGCATATGAAAATGGCACTACTAAAGTAGATTCAGTGGATCAATCTTTAAAAGACAAAGATAGAGTTATGTCAATACTTAAAAGCAATTTAGAAAATGCTTAGTGCAGGATGAAGGTACAATCTGATAAGCACATGTCTGAAAGAGAATTGAATGTTGGTGACTGGGTTTACTTGAGATTAGTTATATACCAGCACATGTCATTAGCTTCACATCCATTCCACAAACTTCAACCAAGACTTTATGGCCCATTCCAAACTCTGTATAAGGTGGGATCTATAGCTTACAAATTACAGCTGCCTGAGCATTTTAAATTGCATTGCATCCTATCTTTCATATATCTTGCCTCAAAACACATTTGGGAGCTACTATCCAAGCTACTGTGCCATTACCAATTATCATAGATTCTGGAATTCTGCAGGATGTCCCAATGACAATTTTAGACCGTAGAATGATTAAGAAGAACAATATTGTAGTTACTGAGGTGCTAGTCCAATGGCATAATCATTAGAAGAAGGATGTCACTGGGAAATTGTACTAGGATCTAAAGCTCAAGTTTCTAGAAGTGGTGCATTTGTAATTGTAATGTTGTTCTGTGCTGCAAAAATTTTCTCTTAGTTGTATTACTTGTCAATAGTTCTGCACTGCAATTTCTGTTGTTGTTTACTATTATTTGTTTTGCTGAGAAGGTATAACTTGTGTTTCAAGAAAGGGTATTGTTAAATGCCAGCTGACATCATCTGTTTGTGACAAGTGTACAATGGATATGAGTTGGTCAGAGGAGGTAGTTATTTGGTAGTTACTATGAGTAGTGCATCGTAATAGAAGTTGGAACAGTTGAAAATGTTGTTAGTATTATGTTAAACTATTCTCTGTGCAATTACGAAGATGTAGAGCAATGAATCTATCATATTTCATCATACATAAGGATAATTAGAACATTTCATTCTCTTTGGAAACCATTTTTTCATCCATATGTATCAAAAAACTTGACAATTATGGTAACAAGTGATGAACTTTCAATTCATATGAATGATGAAAATATCACAAAAACAAGGGTTGCACGAAGACTTGCCCAAAATCTAAGGGGCCAATGTAAGAAAATTGAAACTTCAGGGTCTATTTTAAAAATCACAACAAACATGGAGAGTGCAAAATGTGGTTAACCTAAACAATATAGCTCAAGAAAAGGATAAAAAAAAAAGGAAAAGAAAAAGAAAAAAGAGAGCTTGTTGGATTGGAATTTCCATATTTACCATTAAAATTTTCAATTTGAAATTCCAATTTTTTTGAAAAGATTAAATAGAAATTTGAATGCATATAGAGATTAAGAAAAATTACTAATATTCCAACTAAAATTTTCGAAATATTTCAAACTTATTTCGAATTGAATATTATATTTTTCTAATTGCTATTTACTAAATTATGTAATTTCTAATTAACTTTGTATTTTATCATGTTCATTGTTAGTTTTAGTTACATTTAATTCATTGTGTTTATACACTTAAATAAATTAAGATTATGAGAGGAGGGGATTGAGTTAAACCGCACAATGGTTCAGACACTAAATAGGTATCGAACTTAACACAATTATGTAATAATACGTCATTACCATTTATGTAAGTCGAACTTGAGACCTCACTCACAAGTGAAAAAAAAATATTGTTAGACCTGATATATAGTACGATTACAAATATTAATAAAGAACAATAAATTGTATATAATAAAGTATATGAGAATATAATAAAGTATATGAGAATATGCTTACTCTTTAGACCTACCACATGGAGATAATAACTATAGAAATATATTCTTCAATAGTAAAAGAAGATATTATATATATATATATATAATCCATTATATATACTCTCTCTCTCTCTAGTTCTTCACATTCTGCTTACACCTAACAAATCTAATAGAGAGATATATTAAGGATGAAGTGATTGGCTATGCCTCCGCATTCATATTATGTTGGTTTATAGAAGAGCAACACTTGTGTTCAAACTTCAAAATAGCAAATGACAAGGGAAAAAAAAGGAATCTGGATTTTAATGTGGTAGAATATGTAAGCTGGTTGTAAGTTGCTTTAGACAACTTTATTTTAACTATTTGCAAACTTTATTGCTAATCCAATCACTTAACAAGTTATTAGATTACATGTTTAATGCATCGTTTGTTCAAGTTTTATTGTGATTATAGTCAAATTGCACCTTTCTTAAGTTTGAGTTCTTTGTTTTTTAGTTGATTTTCGGAAGATAATGACATCGTGCCTGATTAACGAGATATAGTGTGAAAGGATTTCGTCTTTACGTTTGACATGATTAACAATGCAATGCACGCATGAACTTAAGCTTTTGGAATCCACTGATTTTCAAACATGATTAGCATGCAAAGTAATGTTGTTCTTCTACTATTTCCATCGATATGCCTCTTCATGCACATGACGTCATTGCAAATGAAAGAGGGTGTTAGTCGATTCCCTAGCTCTATTAACAGCACCTCTTTTATTAGTGTTCCAGCAAAATCCTCCGAGATCCTTTGCAACTCTAACATCAATTCATATGATAATTATTCTCATAGTTGTCTCTCCTAGGCTCGACTTTTGGCTGAATCGAATCAGAAATAGGTGTTTCCAATTTCAATCCAAAAAATATCGTATCTCCGATTTTTGTAAACAATGCAATTTAACAGAACAAAATAAGACTAGCTATCGGGATATCAATAGTTATGCACTTAGCCTTTCATAACATTCTCATTAGTAATTAAGTAAATTCTGTTCAACATGTTAGTGGTGAATATGTTACTCATATCGCATATGCTGCACTTGGTTTGTTGGTTTTACAATTATGGTATGACATTTTGAAAAATTAGATGCATATATAAACATGAAGACCTTCCTCCAAACACATTAGTATTGAAGCGGGGCTCATACATCTCACTCTGCCGTCTCTCCACGTTATGGTGATCCGTTCCTGTCATTTGACTCTTGTAGTCTGATTCCAGCGACTAAAACTTCCCAGTCACATGTTAACTGGAGATTCTGGTTCACTGTCAACCTCATTCTTCAACCTGAAATATTAACCACCATAAGTTGCAAAAGAACCATAGCCTTTTCTTTTAGCAGAATAGAAAATATATGCTCTAAGAATGATATAATGCATAGAAATTGACCGATTTTGGGGGAAAAAACTAGAGATTAAGGTTGTTGTTTCTTACTGAATGTTTATCTTTGTATCCTGTAGCGTCTCAGGGACATCACCCTCAAGCTTGTTATCCTGAAGGAAACTGTAAAACCAAAACAGGTCACCAAAGTAAGTTGATGCCATAGAATAAGTCCCAAAAATCGAATGATTTGCTATTGGATAACTATTTGATGATGGAAGACTATATACTCACATCTCGTGCAGTTTTGGAAGTCGGCCTAATGATTCAGGAATTGATCCTTCAAGCTGGTTTTTCTCCAAATGCCTTTATCATAACAACAACAAAAAACTAGAGTTAAAGGTTTAGCTATCTAAAAGAATGAAGAATGAGATAGAACTTTAAATATAACATACAAACTCTGCAATTCCTTCAATGAGCTCATGTCTGGGATGTTGCCTAAAAGTTTGTTCCCCCCAAGCCAACTGTAAGGAAATCATTCCATCAAACACGCAAGTTAGGAAGCGACCGTGACAAGGCAAGCCAGTGAACACTGGTAGTGCGACTAACAAGTGCATGGTTACTTACATATGGTGGAGTGCAGTTAAATTTGCTATGTTTGGTGCTAGTGACCCGGATATTCCAGCGCCGGTTAGATTCCTTCACGTAATAGGAAAACATTTGACTACGAATCAAATTTAAATCCCCTAGCATTAATCATTATCTAGGAAACATCTAATAATTATATTATTATATCTATACTCAGTTGTGCCATAAATCCTTGTGAAACTCACAAAGTTATTACTCGAAAAAACTTCCCGCGATCACACGTAACACCAGTCCATGAATTCCCTTCAGGTAGACAAGGATCGCCACTCCAATCGGGAGGTGGGTTGTCAAAGTTTCTTCTCAACTCATTCATTGCCATAACTAAGGAACACCAAAATTAAGGGTCAAAATCAACAAGAGAAGATGGAGTGTTTGATAAAAATAGGTTAGCGATTTTTGCACTACTGTTTCACCTTCTGCATTCTGCCCTTTGATCCTTTATTCATTTATTCAATTCTAAGGCTATAAAAGGAGGGCAGAAGTGCAAGAAGAGAAAAAATGAGTGCGTAATGACTTCGCTAAAAATAATCTTAGGCTTGAATGAAATACCATCTCTAGGGAGAGTCATTCCTCCAAGAGGCAAGACCTGCAAGATCTCACCAGCACTGATGACAGGCCCGACTGGTACCCCTTGACCTGGAGTCATGACAATCTCAGTTTGCCCGGATAGAGGCCATTTCGGCGCGTAAACTGTCAAACCCTTGGTGGTAACATTGACATTGGAATGGAAGTTCTTGCCGTTGATAGAAACATTGAAGACTCTCCAACTAAACGGGCTCGGGTTTCGATTGTCCTGGAAGTATAATGCAATGTAGTAAGCTGCACTGGGGAGTGGCCAGGATGGCCATTTGACATGCAATTGCTTCCCTCGGCTTGTTGTGATAGAATTGTGGAATGCTTTTGCTGGTGGGATGTTCCAGAAATCGGAAGGAGTTACATTGGCCTTGCATCTCACAATAGGGTTCTGGTCCATTTGTGGTTGCCATAACCGGTTGAACTTGTCATCTGGAAAACTAAGTTCATATTTTACATATTCAACATTAGATAGTTCAATTCTTCGGCATGTATACAATTTTCTGGTTAGTTCTTCATATATATATATATATATATATATATATATCCTACCACTTAGTTCAAAATCCAACATGTAAACTTAGGTTGGTATAGGATATGTGAGTCACTAATGAACACATGAACCACATTGTAGATTATGTCACTAACATAGGTATGACTCGCCTATAAACAATTATTAGACATGTAATCTACAACGCCGATCGATGAAAATGTTAGAACTTCAGACAATTTTATTAGCAAATGTGACACGAGCAGTATCATAAGTACCATATAATTCCAACGAAAAATTTTCGGATAACTTTTTTTTGCCGCATTATCTCTATTAAAGGTGAAACGTGACTCCCAAACTCTCTCACTAGTACGTACCTACACCTAGTTACACTTCCATAAGAGATCTAGTTTACTACGTATAGTCAAATTGCATGGCTCTTAAATCATAAAAATGCAGCAAGGAGAGTACTAATTAAATAAGGAGTTGAGTTTCTACCCAATTATGTCACCTTCAGATGTTCCAAAGCTACTCCTAACCACTGTGCTAAGTGCATACTTGTTAAAATCTGTGGTATTATACACTGAATCATCCAAGTACTCCAGCTCAAGAGCCGAGATAAAGGGGCTAGAATCCGACCCTGTCATGTTATTCCTCGCAAGGCACACGCTAAACGTCTTCGACTTGGCATGCACCACAATTTCATAATACGAGCTCAACCCATTTGCATAGTCCTCCGTGGTGTTAACCACACTCCATTTAGTCCCCTCCACAATTTGATCAAATACCGGAGGCTCCTTCCCGCCATCAAAATTGCCATAATAGTACGTGGTGCGCACGAGGTACTTACCACCTTTGATAACAGGGATAGAGTAACAGTACTTACGTGCGGACTTGTTAGGGAAATAGCGCAATGTGGCAAGTATGGGGACAAGGTCTTCCTGTTTGATGGTGCTGGTGTTTCCTACCAATATAAAGCCCTCGTCTGTCGTGTACTTTAGGTTCCCTACTGTTACGCTCTCAGATGTCGGCCCAGCTCCACAGTTTAGGAGGTAACCTGCATTTAAAGACATTAATTTGCATGTATAGCTCATAATTTGGGTACTTCAAGTGTATATTAAGAGTTTGCTTGTTTTATAAAACATATCAAATTGTGTTACCGGAAGTGGGAGTGAAATAAAACCTTAGAAAATTTTGAGTTTTGGTTATGTCCAAAAACGTGAGTGAAGAGAGATGATAAAAAACATTTGCGATTCATAACAATTCTAACCCTACAAAAAAATTGGATTATGCTTGTTTATAGAGACAATTAATCCTAGCAAAACCCTAATTCTGTCCAATCAACAAGATCACAAAAATGGTAGGGTTGGTTTTGTTTTGGATAAAATAATGAACAAGCAAGAACCCTAAATCCAAAATTAATGAGGAAAATATAGGATTTCATTAAAAAAGGAGGATGTGTGGTACCAACCTCTAGGGTTAGGTTGAGAGTGGGCGAGGAGAGGGATGGAGACTAGCCATAGGAGGAAAAGGAGGCAGAGGGACATATTGTCCGGGCAAAACTTTTCACCCAAAAAATAACACAGGACACAAAATTTTGCAAAACATTTGCCAAGTTTTTTTCTTCCTGCTAAATTTGACGAATGGGCGCCATTGGGGGGGGGGGGGAGGTTGGGGATTGTCTGGTTTTGGTTGCCACGTGGACGTCTTTGCTTGAAGATAGATAGACAAATGTTTGACCAGGTCAACAATTTCATTTAAAGGTCCGCTTTGACCGTTAAGAGTAAATAATTCGTTCCGTATGTCTTTTGTTCCACAATTTGAGGTTATGTACAACTATCAAATTAAGAATTCTCATATGTACTACCAAGTGCATCAAAGATACAATCATCCATTCGCCTGAAAGGCCACAATTAGCACGAGCAAACATATTAATGACGAGGAACACATTTTTGCTATGTTACCAATAGTTGTACTTGCTTTGTTATTCTGCCCCAGCCTGGCTGAGGAAGAACTACGGGCGTACTATAGTTAATAAACTAGTGATGATCCATTTTAGTGGATAGATGGATAAGCAAGCGCCTGTAGCTCAGTGGATAGAGCGTCTGTTTCCTAAGCAGAAAGTCGAAGGTTCGACCCCTTCCTGGCGCGCGATTAATATGTTTTTTATTTTATTTTATTTTTTCTTTTTTTTTTTTCGATCGAAACCTGGTGCCTCTAAAACCCTAGGAAGTGGCAGAGCAGCAGCCAGGAAATATATCAACTGCTGGTAAAAATCCATCTGCTGATTTTCTTTTGGATTTTTTGTATTCAATTCAGATAAGAAATTTAAGCTTCAATTCAATTGTTTTGTTGCAGATTTGCAGTGTAGAAAGTCCGGAGCTTGAAGACGCAACAATGAAGGAGTTTCAGGTCAATGGGAACACCCTCTATCTTGCTCTCTTCACTGAAGTCACCAACTCCAAGTACTCTCTCTCCCCTCTCTCTCTCTCTCTCTCAAGTTTTTAAACTGGCTTAACTGGGTTTTGCTTTCTCGTGCAAAATTCTCCAACCCCAATTTTGTTCCCCTGGATTTTCCCACCAAAACCTTGTTTAGCTTGAGAGTAAAATTGGGTATTTCGTTACCAAATGCCAGTAGGAAAATTTTGTTTCTTTTTCGGGATCGATGACGATTTTCATAAACAATTTGAATGTGATATCGAATTATCGATGCTATGCCAGGGGGCCTAATAGATTCGTTATCCTGCAGGGAGCTTCTTGGTTTGATGCAATCAGGGACACTAAACCCGGAAGTTGCATTCCTGAATGCTTCACTTGTATGATTCCGTGTACTTTAACCGCCTTTTGTTTTGCCTTCACTGTTGTGTACTTCTTTCTGCTGAGATGCTTGTTGTTGCGTTTCTCTAATGTTTGCCATTGTCCGCAATGGAAGCAGATCCCGGATGTTTTCCCTTTGCTTGCAGCTGCACATAAGACGCTCGTATCTAAGTCCCGAGAGTCACTGACAACGCGCACTCTTCATTCTGAGCTTGTTTACAATTACTCGGGATCCAAGCATGTAATTCTCTACCAATTAACTAGTTTGCTTTATGGTCTATTGCTTCTATTGCTGCAAATATGTAACCCCTAGCTTTGATCATGGCTTAGATCACAGAGTCCTTGAAAAGATGTGGCATCTCTGAAAGCTCGACTTATGTGCTTGCTGCTCGTTTCAATGCTTCTTCTGAGGAGGTAAGATCACTGTCTCATGGAAAGCCTGGTAGATCAAGCGTTGCATTGCTTCAGTATGTCAGAAGATTGTTAGCCATTCCGATTTTAATATTGTTCATGTTATAATAGATAGAACAAAAGGCAGTAGAGAAACTTGTCAATGGAAAAGAGATTGACTTGGAGGAGTTAGCAGCAAGAGCAGATCAAGCCCAAATACAAAAGGTATATATGTATGTTGGTCTCTTTTTATACTGGCAATGAGTTCTATTGCGATGGTGTATCTAGTTAGTGATCATCAAAATTTTTTTTCTTTCAGCACTATAAGATAACAAGTGTGGAACTAGGGATATCATCACTTGCTGATGCTATTACATGCCGGATTGCTTCTCGTGATGCCTTGTGAAAAGAAGGTCGAAAGTTGTTTATGTTCTATCCGTTTTCCCTTAAATTTTCTTGTGCCCGACTACTTTGATAGATTACATCTCTGACTAGAATGAGGTTGATGTTCAGGGAATCGAGGGCAGAATCGCAGAGCTATGTTTGTAAGGTGGCAAAGGAAACAGAAAAGCTGTAGCTTATTATTTCTGTTTGGGCAAATCCAACTGTCTGCTGTAATATGTAGAATACTTTTAGACAAAGCCGAAATTTGGAAGACGTGATTATGCTATAGCCTTCATCCGGTAATGTAATCTATGATTAATTTAACCTTAATTGCAGTGATAATGTAGTTGTGAGTTTTGTGACCTATTAATTCGCCTGATATTATCAAATGGAAACCTGCAACTAATGGTTCCCTTGTGCTGCTTCTACTTGAAACGAGTCAATGAGATTCGTTATTGCAAGCCTCTCATGATTTGGTCTAGGTTTGTGCAGTTGCCACAATCTGTCCAAGAACGAGTTTTATTCTGCCTATGGCGATTAGAGCTCGACTAACTGCTAACTGCTATAAGATGCAAAGGTAACCTGCAACTAATGTCGGCAGTTAGCCCACCGTGTTCTTTCTTCTTTATTATCTTGTTAATGATACTTATGGGTACTTGTTTTTCATGTGCTCTAACACACTGAAAGAAATGGTGTCTTTCTTATTCAATACTCTGCATTCTCTACTCATTCATATGGCTTCTGCTAAGTCGTGGAAATCAAACATAAAACAATCGTTGGTTGTCAAAGAAATTGGATTGGATAACTCACTAGATTCAATACGTAGTAAGTACATTCGCCTCAGCACCCAAAAGTCATGTGCTCAATTTCATCCATCCTGAATATCTCACAATGTTAAGGTGAGAGATTATGAGGTTCGTCATTCGATCTTTTACATATTTTAAATTTGAATTTTATCGTCGTGCCAAAACTAGCTTGAACTTGTGTGCAAGGGCCAACACATTACTACGACAAACTATCATGATCCACACTTACCAAGTGTATGATTCTTTATCATTATCGTAGCTCATTACTCCACATTCTCTCACCATTTATAACAACTGTAACAATTTCGAGAAGTGCCCTTGTCTTCTTTGGCAAACAAATAATATCTGTTGCTGGACATTTATGTCCATTAACTAATTGGTATAACTATTAGGTTATTAATTAAAATTCAAGTTCATGTCAACCTGAAATTGTGCGTAACATCCCATGAAAGTTTTGATATTTTCTTCTCACTTATGTGATTTTTATGTTTATCGTATTGTAATTTTTTTTTTCTATTTTGCGAAACCCTCACGTTAAGAAGAATCACCATGGTTCATGAACCCCTTAAATCTAAACTTGTGCATATTAAATTGAAATCAGTTGTTTGTGATTTTTGGTAATAAACATGTCTATATCATCTGGATGCTCCAATGAGCATCCCCATGCATTCCAGTCGAATGCCAAATTGCCTTTCCTGTCTAAAGCCCAACTCATATTTTAGTCGAATATAAAACCCTCATTCCAATTGAACGCATATTTTTTTTTAACTTTGTAGTTGAAAGCCCAATTAGCTTCTAGTCAAAGCTAAATCCATATTCTAGTCGAATATGTATATAGCCCAAATAATTCATCAAGTTACATGAATTGAGTTAATTTGTTTTGAGTTTCAAACTCACTTGACTTTAGAAATATTCCAAATCAAGAAGAAACAAAACCCAAGCCCAATTAAACCCATTAACTTGTGCTTCACTATGAGTTCACATCTTTGATCCAAGTTCACACCCTTAAGCTCATATTCACCGAATGAAAATCCGAAATTTTTTTTTCCAAGCCAAACATTTAATCCGGTTTTTACATCTATTTTGATTAAACTTAAAGTTTTAATCCACCTATTTCTCGGCAGAAAAAGATGTCAAAATTGAACAAGTTAGACTTTACTGCTCTTGATATCTTTGGCACCAATTACCTCAAGTGGGCCCAAGATGTCAAGATGCACTTAAAGGTGAAGAAGTTATCAGAAGCAATCCTAGATGATGTAGCCAATGAGTCTTTGAAAGCTAGGGCCCTCATTTTCATTCGGAAGCACATTGCAAAAGCCTTGCAAACCAAATTTTTGGTTAAGGAAGACCCGAAGTCTTTATGGGAAGCCCTAATGCACCACTCTGATCACCATAAGTTGTAATCTTGCCTCAAGCAAGAAACGACTAGTACAATCTCCGCTTCTAAGACTTTAAGACTGTTGACAAGTATGTCTCTGAAGTTTGTCGAATCCAGTCGATTCTAAAATTTTGTGGTCAGAAACTCATTGATTTTGACTTGTTGGAGATGATCTATTCCAACTTTAGTGCCTCGAATATTGTGCTCCAGTAGTAATACAGAGAGCATAACAATTAAAGGTTCTCAAACCTCACAACAGTTCTTCTTTTAGTTGAGAAGGACAACTTACTGATGCAAAACTATAACTCTCGACCTACTTGTTCCAACGGTGTTCCATTGCTTGAAGCAATGCTAATATTTCCAAGGGAAGGAAAAGAACCGAGTCAATGAGAAGGGCCAGTCGTCCTAAGCTTTGAAGAATAGCAAGGGGAAAGGCAAGCAAGGTTCAAACCAAGGGTCCCAACCTCGCAAAAAGTCTAGAACATCATCGATAAGGCTAATCGTCTTGAACCAAAGAACAAGCCGAATCTTTAATTTTGTTGTGGTGGAATTGATCACTAGCTAGCACTTGTCCTGCTCTGTTGATGTTGATTTCCAACACAACTGTCATTAGAAAAAAGCCAAACTTGTTGAGCATGACAACTTGGGAACCGAAGATGTGTAAAATGACACGGCTGTAGTCGTTTCAGATTTCATTGAGCAAGATAACTGCTAGTGAATGTGATTGGCATGTTGCCGACTTAGAGTTTTCCTTAATGTTTTTGGATAATCTCTATTTTACTTTTGGATTATTGGGCCATTTTGGGAAGTTTTTGGTTTCTTAAGCCCTTAATGGTTATTGTTTGTTTCTTTTGAAATTTTTATTCTCAAATAGTTTAAGCTGATAAAGTTTACCTTGGAAAACTTGTTGTGTGACTTAACTTAAATTTTCATAGGAATGTCCCACAAAGTTTGTTGTTTAGCAGTTCAACAACACACACTGTTTTATGTAACTGCATTTATTTCCTCAATTTCACACCTATTGTATCCTGGTGACAACAATCGATGGCCCTATGTAACTAATAGAGGGGCATGGAAAGACTCAACTCATGTTGCCCAATGGTGCTTTGCTTACCCTTAACGAGGCCTTATATCCTTCTCGTTATGGTCGAATGTTGTTGAGTTTTAAGGACATCCGAGTGAACAAATTTCATTGTGAAACATTGGAAGAAAATGGCGTTTAATTACTTTGCCTCACTTTCACTTCATGCAGCTAAAGCCAAATCTTAGAGAAGTTGAAAGCACTCTCATTGGGTCTTTATATGATGACTATTCAAAAGATCGAGGCAAACCTAGCCATTTGCCTGAAGCTAATTGATTCGAGCACTTTCCAACTCTGGCATGACCATCTTGGACACCCTGAAAGAAAGTATGACGTGTCCCATAATTCGTGCATCATCCATTGGTAAAGATGAAATACGTGATACTATTGATTACACCATGTGAAGCTTGAAGCCGTCCTATGAAAACAGCTATAAAGAGCATGCCACTTTCTTAGAAAGGATCCAAGGAGATATTTGTGGACCAATCCAACCACCATGTGGACCTGTCCTCTACTTTATGGTTTTAGTTGATGCATGGACTCAATGGTCACACATCGCCTTTATTATCCACAAGGAATGTTGCATTTGCAAGATTCATTGCCTAGATCATTAAGTTGAGGGCACATCACTTGGATTATCCGATAAAATCTATAAGGCTAGATAATGCCACGAAGTTTATGTGGAAAACATTTCACGATTATTGCAGGAGTTTGGATATTGAAGTTGAACATGTAGTCGCTTATGTCCACACCCAAAATGGCCTAGTAGAAATGTTTATCAAACATATCTAGACGATAGGCCAAACCTTGGTAATGAAGTCCAAGCTTCCGGTTTTTGCTTGGAGTTATGCAATAATGCATGTAGCGAATTTGGTTAGATTGAGGTCCACTAGTACTTAACCCTTTTCTGCACAATAGTTATTGACAGGGTACAATCCAAACATATAGTGCGTGGCTGGGTGTGATATATGTGCCAATTGCGCTGGCATAACGTTCCAAAGTGAGCCTTCAACAGAGGAAATTGATTTATGTTGGTTATGTGTCCCTTTCCATTATCTGTTACTTAGAACCCTTAACATGAGATTTACTTACTGTCTTGTTGACTAATTGTGACTTTGATGCTTCAACTTCCCGTTGTTAGGAGAAGGTCACACTCGTGTTCTAGAAAAAACATCACCAAGCCTACCATAACCACTACCACCACCACAAATGCACAATCCCACCGTATACACCATCCTTACCATTGCCACAACCAACAAAAATCTAAATTGAAAAATTAATCAAATTGAGGACCTAATAACTAAAATCCCAAAAATGGCAAATCTATGACAACCCGTCCCAAATTTTATTATTTATAAATCTTAAAATGTGACATTTACAAGAATACCCTAGAGGCGAAGGTATTGATTTTCATTGATCGTTAGTTCATGATGCGTATGAACTATTACCTTACCGTATTCCAAAAGTGCATTGGTAAGAATTGTTATTTATTATCTTATTCATTTCTTATTATTATTATTTTTTTTGTTATGAAAAGGGTTGTGGGAGATTAATAAAAAGGAAAAAGAAGAAAGAAAATGGAGGGATGGCTGCCTGATGGCAGTGAAAGAGAAGGAAAGGAAGGAGATGGGCACTGCCCAATCAGAAATGAGGAGAGAGGGAGAGTGACGAATGGGAGAGAAGAACCAGGAGGGAAAGGAGGGAAGAAGAAAATGAGGGAATCCAAAACGGGTCTTCCTTGACCCGTGTGACCCGAACGGCAGGAACCATAGAAACCAAAGGTTTCCCGGCCAAATTCCAGTGAATTAAGCCAAACCATCAACTGGAAACACCTCCCTAGCTTTCTCTCTACCATTCCTACCCCTAAATTCATACAATTTGGCCTTAGATTTGGGAGAAATGCACCAGTGGTGTGTACGGGTGTTCGGCGGTAATTCATAAATCGTGAAGCTAACATAGCCAATTTTCACTACCAATAGGCTCCCCTTAACCTCAGGAAAAAAGCCCAAGTGATGGTAGGGGCGTCGGAGCTTCCATGGAGTCGAATTGAGTATACCTAAAAACTAGGGTTCCGGTGGGTTTTCGTGAAATTGGAGCCTTT